GCCGCCGCCGCCGCCGCCGTTGCCGCCGCGACATTGCGTGCGCGCGGCTTTTGTTTCAGACCGCGATTTATCGCGTTGCGGCCGCGAAGTCTCCGTTTCGCGGCGCGCGGACTCTCCGGAATATGTGCGTTTACACAGAATATAACACACAGACTGTTATATATTTGTATGTGTATGCTTATATAAATATTTGTTATACATCTATATATATAAAATTTTAACATATATAATATAATAAAATATTAATAAATTTTTATATAAAAACTTCGCAATCTACTTCGATAAACAAATACCTCGCTTCAACATTAAATTAGTTGTCTTCTCTCCTTTACGTCGCTCGGAAATAATTTGCTCGAATTCGAGTTTGTGGTTCTCCTTCGTCTGCGCACAGGCTAGGTGGATTTTCTTATTTTATACTTGCCGAAGATAACTATTTCCCACGAGAGGAAAGTTACGTCGGTGGAAATCGTTCTCCCTCCCTCTTGCCCTTTCCTCTCGCTGTGTGCTATACAAACTCCCCAGAAATATGTACATCGTCCTGGTGAGCATATTTCGTATACGCGTATGAATCTCCATATTTTCGCGACGCTTCTCTTCGTGTTAGGGAATATGGAAATGCATGACGCAACGACGCTGACTTTTGCGACACGGTCGCGCCCGCGTAAATTTCATCCCTCAACTCTAAGATCCGAAATATTGCGGATACACGTAGAGAATTTTATTGCCGGAGAGACGCGCCGCGTTTCTTCTACGATAAATCATCATTCGTATTACGGTCGAGAGCTGTCCATCAACTCGCTATCGACTACTTACAGGTTAATGCAAAAACTACAGAATGTAGTCCGAAAAAACGCGACGGCACCTTCCCCGCGTGATCGATTTTTTTCTAATGAAAGTTTAATCAGTCTCCCCTTCCTCCCCCTTATCAACAAAGTTACTTAAAATCAATATTTGCGCGCGGATGAACGCTTCGAGAGGAGAATTACAACTTTTCTTTCTCGGGATACGTACCTAATAAATAATAGCATTCTGTAAATGCTTCGCAACAAACTTCAAATTGAAAACTTTAATTTGAAGTGCAAGTAACGGGATATTTAATATCGGAAATTACAAAAGAGTTGAATATTTTGCGGTCGCGCCGCAGTCATTAATTTTTATGTAAAAACAATGAAAGCGTGTTTATTTTCATACAAATTGCGCTGCCACAATCATTAATCTCCGCGAACGTTCACAGAGAATTAAATTTTGTTTATATTTTGTATTTATTTTCCTTCAGATTAATGGAGATTGTAAAATATATTTTTTGTTCTCGCGTAACAATAAATAAGGAATGTGTTTTGCAAATAATATCTCTCGTAAAACATCCGTCACGTCCGCGCTAACGTACCGTGTCTCATTTGCGAATAAAAGCGATCTTAGTACCCGCATGGACGTGGCCCGCATGCAAAGCGGGGGCACACTCCAAGAAACACGTCGGGCGAACTGATTAGCTGATGGATCGTCCGACTGTCAGTACAATCCGTGGCGCACTGACGGAGATGGGTTCGACTGAATTCGAACAATGGAAGTTCCACGATCCGTTGGAACTAATCCCTCCTATTGTGTCGTGCTAAATTTCTGTACGAGATGCGGTTCCACTACACGTAACTCATTGCCATGTACGTACGCGAACCGTATTGCGCGCGTGTATCTTGGATAATATTGATGCTGTTCATCTTTCGTCGAAGAGCACTTCGATTGTGTGAATCTCGATAAAATTTAAACGCGATCCCGCGTGAGCAAACTGTACGCAACGAGCTAACAATAAGATATTTCGGCAAAACACAAATTACATCTTAATTGTTCCGTTGCTACTTTGCGAACTACATTCAACGGTCAAAGTATCGCGTAATATAATTCACTGATAGAACGCGCGGAAACCTTGCGCGGGGCGAAACCTCCGGTGTATTAGCGTCGAGCGGAGTTTACACTCGCCCATTTTCCACTCGGTCTTGGCACGGACTTCTCGAGGCGCGAATTAACCGCGCGGAAAAGCCACCGAAAAGATAGAGGAAGACTCGAGAGTAAAACGCGAGAGAATGAACGAGGAGAGAGAGATAGAGATGGAGATAGAGATAGAGAGAGAGAGCGGTTCTGGGATCGCACCGGATGGCTGCGCCGAAATTTAATTAATTCCCGCATAAGGAAAGAATTTCCCGGTGAACCGCGACGCGCGACCGTGTCGTGACTGTTTAGCGTCGAAAGACGACGACGGCGACGCTTCTGGTGTGGCATAAAAAAAAAAAAAAAAAGCAACGTAACGAAGAGAAAAACATCGGGCCAGGAGAACAAACGAGCACGGGTCAGACGCAACGTTGCGCGCGTGAGATTGAATTGACGCGTGGACGCGCGCGTCATTTCTTTTCTCCTCTCACAAAGAAATTTTTACGAAGTAACTTTCTCCGAATGATACTTTTTTGTTTTCTATTACAAACAACGCGAGTGAAATATAATACTCTGACGTTTTCTCGCGCTTGAGAGAATTGTTGTTTCCGCATGTGAAAAACTCGCCCGCGAAATCGTGCAAGCGACGACGCGCTTGCGGCGAAAGCGCGAAAAAATGCGCGCGCGCCCGGCGAACTCGGCTCCCGATGCATCCATAATTCATGGCTTGTATACTACACGGTGTAGCCTCGCATAAACTAGCCCGGATACTAATTTCCCGGAGCTACCGCGCGCTACCTGCAGCCTGCACACGCTCGTTAGGCGAGAGAGAAAGCCCGGGCTTGGACGCCGCGAGATGCAATTATGATAAACCGGGAAAGAGGTTCCTTTCCGAAAGCTTTTCAGGGGTCCTTGGCTCGAGCGAGCGAGTTTAGCGGAAAGCGCAGAGAAGCGTTTTCTTCTCATTTTGTATATGTGTGATTCGTGATTTCGTGTCTCTCTTCGCTGGCATCTTTTTCCCTCCCGTCGCTTCACGTCGTCTTGTCTTTCGATAAGAGCTCCGGGTTCGTATTCGTGCAAGAGGTTGCCGCGATCGATCCCGCGAGACGAATGGCGGGCCTCCTGTTAAGCTTGTTGGGCCAATCGAGCGATGCCGAGAGAGAGAGAGAGAAGGAGAGAGACAGAGAGAAGGAGAGACGATGTTGCAGCGACAGGCGTTATTAATTTACTCCGTCGTAATTCCCGATTTGTTTGATTAAGATCTCGAAGGGCTGGCACGTGTGTGTCGCGACGACCGTATTTATGGGAGCGATGCTTAATAGCGATAATCCGGGAAAGCGATGTCTGAGGTTGATGTATTGGTGCGGGAGAACCGCGGGTTACGTAAATACCGAGTTCCTGATTACACGCGATTATAATTGAAACGCTTATCGTTCGAAACAAACGCTCGGACGTGTTACGACGATTAATCCGTGCAATTTGGCAACAACGAGTAGAAGCTTTTTTTTCTCGTTTAACGAATAAAATTTATCTTAACGAAAAAATGCGGAATAAATAAAAAACGCGCGAAAACATTCACTCCGCTCCGATCGTGAGTAATAAAGAAATTTTCTTGCGTCGAAAGTTGCTCCACGAAAATTAGATTCGAAGAAGACTCGGCGTAAACCGCGAGGGACGATGGTTTTTACTTTAAAATTTATGACCAACCCCCAACACACAGGCGCGGGCGGCGCGCTCGCAAAATCTGCAAAGTTAACAGACGAAGAGCTTATAGTAAAGTGATTATTACCGTAACTTTAATAAAAGCTTGCCCGCTCTGTAACGAAAACTTTTTCAAGCCTAGGCGTGCGTATATAGCTGTATAAGTACTCAGGAGCGAGAGAGAAAGAGAGAGAGAGAGAGAGAGAGAGAG